GGGGGGGGGGGGGGGAGGAGATAAAGAAGAGTGAACAATAAAGTATAACCTTAAGGTTGGGAACTTGAGTGACCAGACTGGTGTCCTTGACAGAAATGTAGAAGTTAGGAAGAAAGGTGCGTTTAGGGAAAATGGTGATGAGCTCCATTTTGGATGTGATGACTTTCAGATGCCTACAGGATATCCAGGTGAAGACTGCCATAGAGCTAAGGGGAGAGATCAAGGCTAGAATCACAGAATAGGATTTTAAAACTTATAAGGGGTCCCTGGAACTGTGTAACCTTGGGCAAGTCAATCAATGCCTCTGGCCTCCATTTCCTTGTTTGTAAAATGAGGAGGTTGGATTGGATGCCTTTTATGAACATACAAAGCACAGAGAATCCTCTAGTCTAATGACCATCATTTTACACGGGAGGAAAGTGACTTATTCAAGGTCACAAAACCCATATTATCAATCAAATCTCCATCTTATCAAGCTTACTCACTGATATAGATGGATAAGGCTATAACTCTCCCTGGAACTGCCATATTATAAGCTCTAAGAGAAAGTGAAGGAATATTGGGTTCTTGGGGATATATCTTTCCTTACATGACTCCAAATCTTAGGGAAGTTGATCTACCTTTTCCAAATCACAACTAACAAATGATCCATGTGTAGCAAGCAAACTGGCGGGGGAAGGAGGAGGGAAAAGTAATATAAAATACTATTCATGGGAAAACTGGCAAAGGAGAGAAATTTAAGAGGAACCAGATCAGTGATCCAACAAAGAAGTGTTGGTGTAGTGTGGTCTCAATGCTTGGTTTCTACTCTTTTTTGCTGTTTTCTATTCTCTTTAAGACCGAGTTCTTAAAGTATAGGTAGGAGATAAGGAAGAATGTCCAGGCCTGGTGGGGCTCTCTCTTTGAAGGATGCAATTGGCTCCTCAACCAGGTGACCTTTTGTACTCCTGACAAGGAGCTTCTTCAATTATTTTTCCCAGGCTTCAGGAAAGAAGGTCAAAGGAACCATTCTCCAAGGTGGCCTGTATCTACTAAGAGATTGAGGTGGTGGTCCAATAGAGGAGAGTGGCATTACGGAAATTAAAAGATGACTTTGCAACAATGTGAACTGCCCAAGTGGCTTTCTATCATTGGAAGTCTTCAAGTTAAGGCTGAATCACATGTCAGGGATGTTACAAAGGGCATCACTGCTCAAATTGGGGGTTTAAATAGATGACTTTTAAGTTCACCTTTGGGTTTTAAGGAATACTAGATTTAGTGTCAGAAGACCCGAGTTTGGGGCCCCAGGTGGGGAAACAAACCTAAGTCTGGGATGGTAGACAGACCACTGGACTGAGAATCAGGTGAGAACTAGAGTCAAATCCTAGCTCTGCCACTTAGTAGCTGAGTGACCATGGGCAAGTCTTATCATTTTCATGGACGTTAGTTTCCTCACATGTAAAATGGAAATTCATCAGTTACATAATAGATTTAGAGCAGAAGGGACCTAGATAATCTCGTCCAACCCACTTATTTCATAGGCAAAGAAACAGAAGTACAGCAAGATTGTAGCCTGCCCAAAGCTTAGCCAAGTCAAGATTTGGGCCTTTCTTTCACTACCTCTCTTCCAGGGTTATAGTGAAAAAATCAAATGACATAATTAATGTAAATGCATTTTTGTATAAAGCACTACAGAAATGGGAATTACTCATTATTATTGTTATTATTATTAAGTAATGTTGACTTTCCAGTTACCTTGGAAGCTACTGGTCATACAGTTATTAAATGTTGGAGCTAGCCTTTTCCAGTACAGTGTGGGATCTCCCAAATGTTTCTTTTAAATCAGGTATTCCTTAATTGGGAGCATTCAGAACTGGGAAAAGTTAGAAGACTTTGCAAACATCTGCATCGACACACAGCTGGGACAGACCAAGCAAGCACCTCGAACTGGCTCACTCTCTATCTCAGGGATAGGCTATTTCCTCTAACAAAGATTCAACAATATCACAGTGACCTAGTTTTTTGACAGTTGTTTCAAATACTTAAGCCACAGCTCACAGAGCTGAGAAACTGCCTTCCCAGAGCCCCCAGTCTGCCAGCATCCGTCCACATCACTTCCTCAACCTCTTCCAGCCAGGAGTTCTGTGAGCAGACAAGAAGGGATGGTGGTGGTGGAGACTGGGATTTGGGGGAGTGAAGGCTGAGGAAGAGGCTGGGGAGTAAGGAGGGAGGAGGGATAGATAATTAGTTGGTGTCTAGCTGGAAATCTGCCTTCTTTGTGCCTTGGGGGCAGCTCCATCTGCGGGCTTGGCTGGAGACAAATATTAGCCTGTGTGGTAGAAGGAGTCCTGGACTAAGTCAGGAGACCTGGGTTCAAAAGCTAAGTCACTGTGGGCTTTTAGGTAAGTCACTCACCTCTCTGGGTCCATAAAATGTGAGGGTGAATATAAAATGGGACTCAATCTCTAAAGTCTTTTCCAATTCTAACATTCCACGTTTTAGCATTCTATGAACTTAGTCTTAAAATTCCACCTTCTAAGGTCCTTCCAGTGCTCACAGTCCATGTTCTAAGACCCTTTCTAGCTCTGATATTCTATGTATTTTTCCCCTGGAAAAAAAAAAAGCAAAAAACAAACATTTAACAAGGTACTGGTATTTTACTCGGTGAATAATGAGGTAGCCACGACTTTCAGAACCAGAAACTTAGAGCTGAGTCTTTAGAGATCATCCCGTCCCTTAGAATAAGTATCCCTCATACATCCGGGTGGTGTTTTCCTCGTAAAAAAATTCCACACACCCCCTTTCAGTAAGCCTATTTCTAATGATTTCCATATTTTGGGCTGGGTCACTGCTACCATCATTATTTCTCCCTCGCTACAAAGGTCTAGAAAATACAATGTCCAGGCCTAGCCCCCCAACAAAAAATTAGTGGGTAGAGCTCCTGGCCTTCAGTACTTAAGTCAGGGCTGGGAAAACCAAGAATTCCAAACCTTTCTTTATAAAGGGAATGGGGAAGGGCCAGAGGTAGTGCTGATTTTACATTGACAACCTTGTTGCTAACTTGATATGTGACTCTGGACAAGTCACTGGCTTCCTTGTGACTCAGTTTCCCCATCTATAAAATGAGAAAGTTGCATTACATTTTCTTTTCCAGCTCAAATATTCTTAGTTGATAGTTCCAACATTCTGTGTTCTAAGGTTTATTTCTAGCTTTGACAGGCTATGATTCTCTTTTCAAAGGCCATGGAGGCACAGGTGGAATAGTTCTGTCCTGGGGCAATGGCTAAGTTGTCTTCCACCATAAATGCTAACTCGTGGAGACCCTGGACTCAGGGACTGAGTCCCTTCTCCTTCTGGCTGCAAAACATCTGGCTGTGCCCAGCCCTTTGATTCTGTTGACAAAATCAGTGCAGAGCCTTAGATGATGCATTTCAGGTGCCAAATAGGGACAGGGTCCAGCTGAGGGTAGTGCTCCACCAAGATAAAGGGTCAGCAAATCCACTGACAGTCCCCTTTTCTTGCATTCCCCTAACATAAACACACACATTAACCCCAGTCTCTGGCCAGAGACAGCCTTTGCTACTCACCATCACCATCGCTACACTCTGGCTTCCTCTGGCCGGCCCCAGGAGCTGAAGGAACCCAGGCAAAATCATGAGCTAGCCAAGGAGGGGAAGGAGGGGAGTCGTTCCCAAGCACCCCAGTCTGTTGCCTCTCTGTATGGTACTAGCTGCCACGGGCCGGCCAGGAGCTGCCCGCTGGCCCTTACTAAGTCTTCTCTCTCTCCAGTTCTCAGCAAACCATTCCAGCCCTGTCCACTGGGAACAATCATCGCTAGTTAAACAAAGGCTATATTCTAACTCTATGTAATGTGCTTTTAAAGGGACAGTGTCCCATTCTGGGCTGCTGGGGATTTAAAGGCACAGAGACCCTTTTCTAAGCAAAATATTGGAGAAAATATAAAACATGAAGACCAACACAGTAGGAACTGGAGCCTCTGTTCTTCACTACAAGTCTTTAAGAATATGTATTTAAAGATAGTTAAAATCAAATTTTTCATGAGCTCTGAAGCTCCAAAAATGAAACTTTAGGGTTTGAATTGTTGATGGGTATCTAAGAGGAATGGAAAAATAATTAGCTTCAATTTATATGTTAGAGACATTCAGCTGGGTTTACCTCAGGATAAACCAAACCTCTCCCACTGGAGGCAGCCATACTCCCTTACACTTTTTCCATGGGGGGAGGGAGAGAAAAGGGGGAAGGGAAAGGGTTAGGGGATGTGTATAATGTGAGGAAAAGGGGCAGGGGGGATTCTGGAGGAAAAAAAACAGGGAAGAGGAAGAGATTAGAAGAAGGAAGTTGTGACAGCTGAGATAAAAAGAAAGGAGAGAAAACAAATCAGAGAATGGAAGAAAGGGAGAAAGAGAGGAAGAAGGGAAGTATGGACTAGGAGAAGAAAGGAGCACCAGAAAAAGAAAAACATGCAAGGAAGGGCAGAGAAACCTCAAGTCTGCGTCATACATGGATTATCTGAAGCTACTGTGTGTGTCTAGTCAATAACAGTCAATAAATATTTATTGAGCATCTATTTACAGGTTAGGCACTATGCTAAGCCTGGGACACAAGTATAAATAAACACAAAGATAGTCCCCGGCCTCAAGAGCATCCAATCTAATGGGAGGAGACAACATAAAAGAAAACAGCAGAGGTGGGGAGAAGAAGGGGAGCCTGAAGAGACTTAGGAAGGACATGATAGCTGAAAGTATAGGGTGGCAATCAAAAAGGGCCATCATTGGTATTGGGAAGATACCAAACAAATAAGCAATTAGAGTTGTCCAAAATGGAGTGGGCTGCCTCGGAAGTCTTCGACTGTGGTTGGGATGATTACTCACTGGGTATGTTAGAGGAGAGATTCCTTTTGTGTAAGGGTTTGGATTAGATGGCCACTGAGGTCCTGTCCAACTCTCAAACTCTGCGAACTAAGAGGAGGAGAGAGATTAGGGAGAAGAGGGCAAAGGAAGAATATTGAGAAGAAATGAAGCTGTAGAAGGCCCAACTTGTATGGAATCACACAGCAAATCTACTACCACAGGAGGGACCCAGCATTTTGACTTCAAACCCAGCACCTTCCCCTCTGGCCTGCACTCTAGCTGTTTCCTCAGGGTCCATGCTGCCCCAAAGCCCCACAGGATGGCTAGGTCTAAGTGCCAGCTCCATCACCTCAGTGACTATCCCCAAGAAGTGAAAATGTCCAAGGCTCTTCTCTGGACACAGTGACAACTGAGGGCTATGTAGGTAGTTAATCTGGGTTATCAGAGAAAAGTTCTCTAGTCCTCAGAGGAGCTGGGCCAGGACCTCACAAACTTTGTGGGCCTTTTTTAAAAGCCAAAGACTAGTGTTAAGGCTTTCTGGGCTGTCTGACAATGCAAAGCTGGTGACAACATTCAGTTCAGGGTGGCAATCGTCTTCAAACTGTTTAAATATCCGGTTGAATTTTATTTTTCTAAAAGTTTTTGAAAATGTTCCGGTCTGGTTTTGCATTTGTCAATAGTGTCAGAAGGCCATGAGAAAAACTAATAATACCCAACTATTATTATTACTACTACTATTACCATCACCACCAATAGCTCTCATTTCTCTAAAACTTTAAGGTTTACAAAACACTTTCATAAAAACAACTTTTGGGGGTAGGTAGAACAGATTACCATATACCTGTTACTGATGAGAAGAGTGAGCCATCGAAAGGCAGGCAGACTTGTGCCCAAGGTCACATAGCTACTTAGTTTCAAAGGCTAGATTTGAATCCAGATCTCTTAACACCAACATGCAGCTATTTTTCTACTATACAACCCCAATAGTTAAGAGAAGTATAAGTATATTTAAATTAAGAGTAATAACTAAGAAGGTCTTCTGGGTTCAACCATCTCCTAGTTGTAACATCCCCTAATTCAGGGGTGGGGAACCTTCTAGGTCCTTGGGTGTGGCCTTTTAACTGAGTCCAAGTTTTACAGAACAAACACTTTTATTGAGGGGATTTGTTCTGTGAAGTTTGGATTCAGTCAATGGACTGCACTTGAAGACCCAGAGGGCCACATGTGGCCTCAACGCCTCTGGGTTCCCCACCTCTGGCCTAATGTAAAGGTTTAGCAGCTTTCAACGAACCCTTTGAAAGTTCAATCTACAGTCCAAACATCATCAAACAACCGATTGAATCAGTTTCCCAGCCAGGGTCTTCCTGTCATCTGCAGATCACCTACTGTGGAAGAACAATATCTAGGGTTTTGCCTACTGTCAACAACTCATAATTCAACTCACTTGAACTGAATTCAATAATGATGATGGTGATGATGATGATGATATTACTAAATACCTAGCATTTATATAGCACTTCAAACTCCACAAAGCACTGTACATATGTTGTATTTTAATTAAACATGCCTAGGAAATAGAACTTAACAGGCAATTCACTCAAGTCTGGATAGTGTGATTTAATTAGTCACACAAAAGTCAGAATGAGGAATTAGAACTCAGGTCCTTGGACTGTAAATCTAAAGATCTTTACATTTCATCACAATGGAGGTGGGATCAGAGGGCTCTCTAGTTGCCTAAACTCAGCTCACATACAAAGCTCCCAGAAGCTGCTTTTTATATTCTTTGTATATATTTTATCTTTATGTTCTGGTGCATTTGTTGTTTCTCATCTACAGAATGTGTAAGCTCCTTGAGGGCAAGATTTTTTTTTTTTGGTCTTTGTGTCCCCAACACTAAGCACAGGGCCCAACACATAGTAGGAGGTTTTAATAAGCAGGAACAGAAGGCAGAGGAAGATAGAAACTGAGATGGGATGAACCAGTGTATGCTGTGCTGCTGAGCTTCCTACCTCCCTGCTGATCCCATGTGTCCCGTATGGTAAGAGTCCCCAGGGTAAAGGATGTGGTGAATATACCCCATCTAAGGTGGATGGTGGTCCAGGGAAAGGAAGAAAGGTCAATGTGTCCTGGACTTAGCAGCCTGAAAGAATGAGCTAGTCTGGTAGCAGCTGAAAAGTACACCTCTCCCTGCTCCCCTGGGGAAGCAGTTAAGTATCTGGGAATGCTCTTTCCTGGTGCAGGACCCCATCTAATCAGTGCTTGCTCTGGCCAGAACACAGAATCCATGAAAGGGACTTATGTCAACTATGTCTGGAAAGGTCAAGGAGTTCAGATTGTGAAGAACCTTCAATGCCATGCTGAGGAGTTTGTAGTTAATCTCAGAGGCAACAGTAGGGATAGGGAGCCATAGAAAGTTTTTATTATGGGGAGTGAAATGGTCAATCCTCCCTTTTCTGTCCAGATTCCAGAAGCAGCTCAGGGCCCAAGGCAACAGACATATTTAAGTATTCAGGAGGGAAGGAAGAGAAGTCTTGAATTACAAATACCAGTCAAGAGAGGGCTGGGAGTCCCATTTCTCTTATCTATAACTACTTTTAGAATCCTAAAATATTGGAGCTGGAAAGGAGAGGACCTTCAAGACCATTTAGTCCAACCTCTACATTTTTACAGAGTAGGAAACTAGAGGCCAGAGAGAAATGCCTTTCTCACCATCACACACACAAAGTGGTAGGTAGAGCTCACCCCTAAAGTCCCTTGATTCTGACACCCAGTATCCCTGACATCATGCCACTCTATCTCAGGCAAGTCCCTCAACTCTCTCATCCCAACATTGCTCTCCTCAGAAATTCCCTTAGCTGTATAAGCCAGGATTTGGGAGACTTCACCTATCTTAGGCTCTCTGAGGGCTACCAGCCTGGTAAAGGCTACAGGCCTAACTCCCAGTCCAGCCTGTTTCCCCTGTATATTGTGTTTACAACTCAGACAGGAAAGGGCTGTGACTGGGCCAGCTGAGTGGAGAGGAAGCAACAGGCTCTCCCATCTGAAATGAACAAAGAAATGCTTTAATCTGGGGAAGAATCAGCCTCTTAAAAATCAGAAATATGGGTGTAATTATTTAAGGGGGGTATTGCATGGCAGTAAGGGGAGTGCCTGTTCTTGAAAGTAGTCTACTTCATTTGTTGTCTTAATTTCTTCACCTACAGCACATCCTTCCAAATCCCTCTTCAACCCTTTGCAGTCTGGTTTCTGACCCATCACTAACCTGAAAGGTCTCTCTCAAAAGTTGCCAGTGACCTATTAGTGGACTCCTTTGATGATTCATCCTTTCTCCTCTCACTTCCTATATAAGATCTGACCTAGCCCTCTTCTTTTTCTACATTCTCTCCCCGGCCCTATGACCTGTTCCCTAAGGGGTTCTATGATAACCTCTATACAGATGATTCCCATGGCTATATATCCAAACCAAATATTTCCTCTGAGCTCCGAATGTCTCTGAACATCTCCATCTGGATGGCCTACTAGCTTTTACCCCTAGGCCTGCCCTGCCTTCCAACATCCCCATTTCTGTTCATAGTTTCATCATCCTCTTAGTCACCCATGTACAAAAACTCTGTTTTCTCTCCCCACCTCTTCCAATGCCCTCCTCCCACCTGGCTGTATTGAGTCTTTTTTTCAGTTATGTCCAGCTCTTTGTGACCCACTTGGGATTTCTGCAAGCCTGGTGC